TTTTGGCATAGCAGGGACACAAAACTTCGGTCTATCCTTTGGAATGACCTCCCATCTTGACACACTAGGCTCACCTGAGGGGCTAGGGTTTACCCGAAGCTTTCTTGCAGTTGCAACCGCACCTTTCTTCTTCTTCGGACCCTTTGATGCTGAGCTTGATGCAGCACCGCCGCTGCCAACAGCCATCTTTTCAGCCTCCTCCTCAACGAGCTTCTGCCTATCCTTCGGACTAAGCATTTTCCAGAAATCCGATGGGATCGACTCAGGGCGTTTTGACCCTTTGTACGTTTTCACAAGGCGTGTGCCGTCCCAATGATAACCATCCGGGATTGGTGTTCCAGTTGGAGTGTACTTGATATCAGGAAAAACTGGTTCCTCAGCCGGCCTTTCATCACTGGCAAGTGCGTCAAGCACTGCCTCCGTTGACTTGTCAATTGCTTCTTCACTTGCTTCTGCATGTTCCTCTGTTTGCAGTTCGGATTGAAACGGAATCGGACGAGGATCAGCAATGACATTGTCAGCAAGACGGTCCGGCTTGGGCTCTTTGGCCTCTTTCAATGCACGGAGTGGGAAGACAAAACCTCCCGCGATGAGCTCAACACGTCGTGCTCGCTGCACTGTGATGCTGCCCGTTTCTGCATGGTAATCCAATGCTTCTAACTTGGCAACAAGATACTCACCCTTCCATGCAAAACCAGGTTGAATATGGTATCCCAAAAAAGATTCCATCATTTGCAGTTGGTGATGTCTTTCCAGATGTGTTGTCAACCCTTTTTGGATTGTTCCAAAACAGTATCTTTGCACCGAAAGGAATCAACTGACCTGGAAAATCTTCTCCGAATCTGAGTTTCCATGGGGCGTCATCACCGTTGAGCTGTGGTGTGGTATTCACTGCCATGGAGAAATGCTGCATAGCCATTGGCCAATACTGCAATGGAAGACCTGACTGCACGAGGTTTGTGCGTGTGCCTTCAAGCATGTGCCTGATCTCCCTCTCCACAAACGACTTTGAACTGTCCACATACTCTGTTGACGTTTGATGTCTGTACCCCAACTCTGAAATTGTAGCAATGAGTTCTCGTGAATTGTCAGTGTAAACTGCCCCAACTTCATCCTTGTGAGATAAGAAATGGTTGAAAGCATTGACACATGACTCACAGTTCAGGATAGACGTGCCTGAACTGAGTGTGAATGTCCTTCATCACCAATGCCACTGTTTCACCTTTGACGCCTTCTTCCACATTGGATTTGATTACAGTATGGTCAGCGACAATGTGATCCCCAAAACTTTTGGTTTCCAATCTTTTCTGTCCCCCTTTCTTCTTTGCGGGTGGCGCCATCATGCGCGCCTTCTGACAGATCTTGCAGAATGGATTCTTGGGGTAATGGCAAAACTGGTGAGATTTGCTGCATGCCTCTTGCTCAAGGTCAGATGCCTTTCTAGACCTGATGTACTCGGTTTCGCTATCATGAGCTACTCCCTCATCCACTCCTTCTTCATCGGCACCTTCTGCTTTTGCAGCAACCATTGCAAAAAGACGTAACAAATCACAATCTTTCTTGAACTGTCCACTGTTCAAAACACGACAAGAGCTATCAATAACCGGCACACGGCCGTCCACATTGAGCTCGATGACTCCCATATCCGGACGAATGAAGTAAGGCCTACCATCAGCTGGCCACACAAAACTGTAACCCTGTTCCATACATCTGACCCCAACCGAAAGAACAGCAGGAGTTTCCTCAAGAATGTATGGTGAAAATGGCTGATGTAGGGCATCGACCTTTACGTCGGCCACCTCATCCGCTCGTGTCGAACCGTTTGCTGTAGCAAGGCTGATCGGAGTATCGCTGACACGGCGGTTTGTCGCCTTTGCGGTCTTCAGCATACCCTCACTGATCAAATCCTGTTCACTGCCCGTGTCAACCAACCAAACACATCCATCTTTTGATGCCGGAGTAGCAACAGTGGGCAAATGAGTATTACTGACTTTGTTCTTGGGACCGATCATTGCTCTACAGTGGTTGCATGATACTCCCCCTTCTGGGTCATTGCATCGGAATCGGCATTTGGGCTGCGTCTCACTGCCGAAGAGCTTCACAAGTTCCTGCAACTGTCGGGCCGAAACCTGAGCACGGTGAGCGATGAGTTTGTCGGGTTTTGGCACTGACTCTGAATCAGGGAACGTCTTCTCGTAGATTCGGGGTCTGTGCACTACCTTTCTCTGTTCACCTGTTGCCGGGACTTTGATGTATTCCACTTTTGATGAAAACACAACAGCTCTATGGCATTGTTCTTTCATGGCCTTTGTAGCTTTCGGCAACCCTTTTCCCTTTGCTATGCATGCATACCTTTGAGTAATGCATGGCGCAGCTTTTGCACTGGCCTTCTTCTTTGGTGCAGGGCTATTGGTGCGTTTTGGATCCTTTGTGGGTGCAGCTGCAACTTCATGTTTGTAAAAACACTTGTCACCACGACGACATTTGCCCTGTTGGAAGTAAGTGCATGGGATCTTGGCCATCTCTTCCTTTGACTTTCTGTTGGGGGAACCACTTCTGCTACCGCCTTTGCCCTTACCCTTCTTTTTGGGAGTGCCAGATCTTGAGGAATCCTTGACATGCTTGTAGGGACAGTCTTTACCCTTTTCGCACTTGCCATCCCTGAACTTGTAACATATCTTATCCCCTTTTCCACTCTGGCTACGACCACGGGATCGACCTCGATCACCCTTTCCTTTGCCGCGATCTTTGCCCCCCTGAGCGGGTGCAGCGGGCTGAGGCTTTTCGGTCTGTTTGTTCTTTTCAACGATTCTGTTTCTGTTTGAACGGAGTCTTTCTCTATCCAAAAGATCACGAATGTTTCTCAACAAGAATGCATAAGACTTCTGTTCCGACTTTTCAGGAGCTCTGTCGAATGCTTCAATGTCATACTTCATCAATTGGCATTTTCGGATTTGTCTGAGTAAGATGTCTCTGAGAACCAAGTCATCTGGCGGGGTTTCCATGCCGGCAATTGTGGCGTCCCATCGGTTCAGAAACCTTCTAAGGTCCTCCACAGATTCTCCAGTGCGAACGACTCCAAGTAGGTCCTCGACGCGGTAGAGACTGCCAGCTTCCTCAGACGTCCTGAAGTAATCTTCAAACATCAAAAGGACTCTCCTACCTCTAACTTGGATCCCTTTCTTTGACTTCTCATCTTTGAAGTTATGGATCTTCGTTGCTAAATCACCTTTGGCCGAGCGAGTTAACGCTGCCGACAATTTGGTGTCAAGTGTGATGAACTTCCCAGGTTCCTGCAGCTTTTCCTCCAACTTTTCCCTAGGAGTTTTGTTGTCAAAGACTTCATTGAGCCAAAGCCAAGCCTCATCGGGTTTGTCGGAGCACGACTTGACATGATTACGCCAGTGACGATACGCTTCTGGGGCAGGCATGTCGTTCAGTTTGATAGTCTCTGCCTCTTTTGTTCGGGGCTTTTCACCATCTGAATCCTTTGAAGTCAGTCTAGTGATGAGATCTAGCAATTGTTGACCTGAAAGACCTAAGCCTGCATCAGCAGCTTTCTTGCCGGTGTCGCTTGCTATTGCTGTAGGACTGGGCACACTATGTTCTTGATTTGCATCATCATCGTTTTGTCTTTGAACTGGCAATGGTGGCAGTTTTGGAGGTGCTGCTGATCCGGCAGGGGTTGTCGAGAATAAGTTGCTCAACCTTTCTTTGGCGTCCATGGCTAAGCTGCTCATACCAGTGTTTGGCATGGGTTCTGCTCCAGCCTTGGTACCGACCGCTGATTTTGGGGTCAAGTACAGATCGACATTGTTCCCGCCTTGTGTATCATCAACTTCGACGGCTCTGTCGACCTTGATTTCTGGGGCGCTGTACTTGTTGAGCTTCTCCATCAAATCCTCCACTTGTCCCTGCAGTTGAAAGTTGAGTTCAGCAGCTTGGTTTTCCTGCCTACTGCATTCCTCTCTAATCTCCTGGATTACAGCTTGTTCCTCCTTCTTGAAACCTTCCATGCCGTTCTTTGCATACTCTACTGTTTCGTCCACGATTCGTTTACAGTCTGCCTCGAGGCTACCTCTGAGTTCAGAAAACCTTTGTTCGTACTGGGCTGTAACATGGGCTACCTTTTGGTTGGCTCTTTGCTCAGCTTCCAGTGCAACTGCATTTGCAGCGTTTTTCAGCTTTGCGTTTGCATCGCTAAGTTCCTGTCTCAGTTTTGCTACCTCATGCTCAGTTGCCGTTTGGGACATTGAATACTCTGACACTAGGTGTTCATGTCTGCGATCAGCTTCTGCACGTTGATGGGCGATTTCACTAAGGCAAATTCCCTCAAACTCTTGGTACAGTTGCTGGACCTTTTGTTCCATGAGATGTGTGTGCCTCTCCTCTGCCTCTTGCCTGAAAGCATCAATGTTACCTTCGTTGATGTAGGTAAGATTGTTTTGCACGAACTGGAAATAGGCTTGCACGGGCTGTGTGAAGAAACCCTCATCAACCGACATGGGCGTGGGGTTTGTCCCAGCCGGCAAGCTCTGCTGAGAACCAGTTGATGCAGATACAGTTCCAGTCGAGGGGACAAGGGCACCACCACCAATTGCATCATTCGACTTGTCCATGGCTTTAGAGACTACGGCTGATAACCTGTATTTTCAGGTTTCAGCTGGGGTAATTCCTATTACACCCAAATGGACTGATAAACCGAAACAATGGGGAAACAACCGTTAAGCTAACGACTCAGCAGCACCTTTTCCGTCTGAGCCGCAATGCTGTAGTATATTACTATCATACATGTGTGTCTTATGTGAGGTGCTTTTACACATAAAGGCTGCTCAGAATGGCAAACAGAATGGTAGCAAGTAAAAACATGTTCTGCGTTTTCTAACAGTCGACATATTCATACCTTTAGGATCCTTTAGGCACAATAAAACACCTCATTGCCCAGCTCAACTATTGTCAGACTTTCAGCATGTGTAGGCCAAGGCAAGCGCGTTTCCAGCCTGAAGAGTTGGAGCCACTCGCGCAGCCATGCAGCAGCGGGAGGTTCGTGTTCGATGGGCAAAACCAATGGACCAATCCAAATGAGAGGGGACCTGAGCAATTCCAGCATGGAAACTGACAACCCTGTGAATTTGTCCCTGGCAAATGGGCTAGCAAGCTGGCAAGTTTGTCACCTGCACATGGCGACCACAGACTTGGAAGGATGTGCCAAGAAGCAGCATGATGACTCCAGACACTTCAAGCAAACAAAATGGTTGGAAGGAAACTCCAGAAGGCTCGCTGATAGAGTGTCGTTTCCGTGGTCGAAACATATCTGAGCAAGAAAAAAACTCAAATGAGAAACATGTTCCTTCAATTCTGCACCTCTCGGAAAACAGTAATCTGTTTGTGCGCGCACAGATGTTTGCATTTTCGTACCGATATGACCAAGGGCGCGTGAAACATCAAGGCCGCACCATCAATCCAGAGATCGCACCAACAGCTGAGTTGCTCCACGCTCAAACGTTCAAGCTTCATGCCTCAGGTAAAGCAAAGGCACAATCAAAATCTGTGGCTGTAGCTGCGTCTTGCTGGAAGCTTCGGACTCCGAAACGAACGACCTGCTATCGTTGACACATTTGTGCAGCCAAGATTCTGCACTCTCCAGAATCTTCACAACTTCATCCTTGCCCTGTGTTCGTGCATGGTCCAATGGAGTCCGGCCTGAGCGCTGCAATTGATGTTGATTGCACCACACTCATGGGTCTTGATGTCATTTCAAAAGCCATATATATTGAAGAATTTACTTGTAGAGATTTGTAGAGCGTCTGATGTTGCCCTCATTCTTCACGCCAGCTATTCAAGTTGCTCCAAACGCTATTCACACCCCACGTTAACAATGTTGATTGGGCGGAAGTTCTATCTCCCGGAGACAAGCCCTCCTTGAACCCCAGGGCCAGAGTCCAGAGCTTGCCATTAACTTTCATGGTAGGGTTCATAGACTGTGTTGAAACTTGTGGAAAGCTGGAAAGACTGCAGTTTCACATCACTTCCGCATCCTTTTGTGGCATTCGAAGTTGAAGGAGACCTTCAAATTCGAACCCCCAGACCAAAACAAATAACACATGCATTTGAAATGGTGCTTCTCACGGATATAAGCACGTAAGAAAAGTATTCCCGAGATATTGCTTTCAAGTAAAATACCCTCAACACAAAATCAACCAATTGGACGGTTCCTGTGCTAGTTCAGTCCAGGAGGGCAAAGAATTCCAATGAGAAAAACATCTAGAGAATCGGGTTGTCCATACATGCCCATACAGCTTCGAGATGGCAAGTTCGGTGTTGTATAATTTCGCTCTGGCATCTTGAAAAATATCTCGAACAAATGAGGATATTTGTATATGTAGTATGCACGCATCATTTTCATGCAACGTATTGCACATGCGGAGGCTGGATGTGCGTTGTGCATATTCACAGATACCATGGATCATATGATACATCATGATACATTTCTATCAACAAACATTCAGTGAGTCTCCATCCATTGAGACCTCGTCCCATGCTGCGTGCGTTGTCTCAAGCAATGCTGTGTCTTGAGGATGTGGTAGAATGCCTGTCTACATGCGTACTGTGTCTCCGCATCTCCAATCACCTTCAGCTAAACAACCCTAGTGCCTGAGGACCCTAAGACCCATTGATGGCCTCCCGACCACAGGAAGTCTCAACGTTCAACAAACAAAACAGCCACCATAAAGTACTATAATAAGTATATAGTAATACAATAGATTACAATAGAATCAGATAAGAAAGCAAAAGCCATCAAAAGCCCATCACATCTCCCAGCCGAGGCCCCCGGCCTTTGTCGTCTTTCACAGTGACGGAGGCTTTCGCCTCAAGGAGAAGGTTCACCACCTCCACTTGGCCGCTTTCTGCCACCGCCCAATGCAGCGGGGTCTCACCTCGGGCGAGCGACTGCCCCCAGAAATGTCCTTCTGATGCAAAGCAAAGCGAAAACAACGAAGCATGTGAAAAATGGAACAATCCATGAACGTCCCAAGTCTCCTAGAAGGCGCACATCCAAGGCTCCATCAAAAGCTGAAAATGTCCCCAATTCAAATCCTTTCATTACTTTCAAAAATTCAAGTTATAGTTGTTTGAATTGAGTGATGATATCTGTTGTTTTTACAAATCCTGACCATGTGATGTGGTTGTTGATCCAAATTATTTCAACTGGAAACTTCCTTTTTTAAAGCTCTATAAAACCTACCAAACCCACCAAACCCACCCTACCGTTTACATTTCACATCATTTCACATCATTTCACATCATTTCACATCATTTCACATCATTTCACATCATTTCACTTTTGTTTGCAACCTGAAATCTGCCCCAAGCACCGTGTGTCCATCTCTTCAGGGCCGAGGGGCCACTGTCGTCCCTGGCGTCCACCTGGGCCCCCGCCGCCAGCAGCACCCGGCAGATCTCCCCGTGGCCCTTGTCCGCCGCCTCGTGCAGCGGGGTACCACCTCGGGCGAGCGACTGCTCCCATTCTGATGCAAAGCAAAGCGAAGACAACTGTGAAAAATCCATGAATGTGCCAAGTCTCCGAGAAGCTGCACATCCAAGGCTCCATCAGGAGCCCCAAATACCGCCAAGTTCAGTTCTTTTCATGATTGAAATTATAGTTGTTTCAATCGTGTGATATCTATTGATATCTTCTGTTTTTTCAAATTCTGTCCATGTGTGGTTGTTGATCCAAATGATTTCAACTGGAAACTTGAAAACTGCCTTTTTTTAAGCTTCAAAACCTACCAAGCCCACCAAAACCGCCCAAAGTTTTACAATGGTTTACTCACCAAAACCTTTACATTTCACATGTTGCGTTCGAATTTTTTTGGCACCCTGAAATCTCCCAAAGCACCGTGTATCCATCTCTTCAGGGCCGAGACACTCACGTCAGTCCTGGCGTCGACCTCGGCCCCCGCCGCCAGCAGCACCCGGCAGATCTCCCCGTGGCCTTCGCCCGCCGCCCAGTGCAGCGCGGTGCGGCGCCGGCCCCAGTCGTCCTTCGCGGCCGCGGCGCCGGGCACCGTCCGCAGCAGGTGCCGCACCGCGCCGAGCAAACCCCGGTCGGCCGCCCGGACGATGTCGTTGCCGCCTCGGGGGGCCACGGGCCGCCCCGGGAGGGCCCCGGCAGGGCCGCGAACCCGATTCCTTTTGGTCGGGATCAGATGGAAATCACACGAAATCATCTTTGGGAAAATGTTTTGAGATGTCTTGAGGACATGAAGCTGGTGACACTTTATCAACTGATTCGAAATGATTTTAAGACAATCCAAGGCTTTCATATCTTTCATCATGATCTCCTCTTGTTGGCTTTCATGCAAGCACACAGGAATTGGAATGGACCACTAAGTGTCTCAGCCTAGTTGCACCCAAGTTGTGTACTCAATCGACATAGTCAATGTATTGCGCATGGGTCATGAGTTTTACATGTTTTACCATCTCATCATTTGAAAGTCATGAATGATGATAAATGCATGTGCTGTATTATTATACACGTCTATATAGAAATGTTTGTCAGTCAAATCCTCTTAGCACCTCACTGTGACTGTACATATGTATGTTTGCGTGCATGCATACATGTCATCTGATGTAATTACTGCTATTGCATTTCCATGGTATTGTGTTGTCTCGCATGGTATGGATTTTTATGACCTGTGTTGGCATCATGTGATGATCATTCGCAGGTCTCATATGCAGCTACATGTCAATCATTGTCAATCTATTTTCATGCTTGACCATGCTTTATCATTTCCTCATCTCATCCCGATGAGCCAGAATCTCAACCCCTCAGATCTCTCCAAGAACGGGACATCTTGCAGCTTCCTCTGCATCGGCTAGTTCTTGGGCCTGCTGTGCTCAACATTCACCCACTTGACGGACGGACACAAATCAACAATTCACATTCCTTCAGTGCCAAATCCCACTATCATGAATTACGAAATCGTCCCTCAATTCCATCGCAAATTCCCATCTCTCAGTTCCAAATCTTCATCGCACAGCACCTCTGACATTCTGGTCGAAGGCTGCGAGGACCAAAGTCTCGTTGATCAGGATGAACACTGCCTGAAAGGAGGAGCTCAAGCGGATCAAAAAGAAGCGAAAGATCAAGTGGGAACTCTATGGAGATATGAATGTTTTTAGACCTCTACAACTGGGATATGGTGCTGCGGCTCTTAGTCTTGTTGAGCTGTCAGATGTTGCCATAGCTACCAAGAATACAAAATAATACAAAGAATACCCACGTTTCAGAGATTTGGCAACTCCAAATCAACCCTGAAATGCGGAAAAAACAGCTTTGAGGAAACCAGGGTCCACACCTTTCACACAGGGTGCCTCGCACCTGAGCATCGGCACAGGTGAGATCATCATTGCTGATATGCTCAGTGCCGTGGAAGTTGGAGATGGGAGACAGGGCTGGACCATCTGACGATACCCAAGGCAGCATTCCAATGTTTTTGTTGCAGAATGTTGCAGAACCCCAGAAAGCTGCAACATTTCAGATGGAACCCAACGTAGAGATGGCTTGGTGGAACCATTTTTCTATTGCCCATTTGTCTGAACATTCTGAACTATGGCCTATGGCCAACAAATGCAGTCGAAATGGTCGCAAAAGGCATTGACAAATCTACCTTTTGGGCTCCCGCGGTGACATTTTCCAAACCCTCATATATGGCTGCCATTCACGTTGGTCATTTGCGTCATCCCTTTCAGATTGATGAGCACGGGGAAAAATATACCAGCATTATTTTACCAACCAGCATCAACCAGCCATCTTTAGACCACCAACACATGCCAGTCTCGTAAACCGAAGTCAATTCAGCCTTATCCTATCGAGATGCGGAGTAAGGAAAGACAACGGGAAAACAGGAGAAAACAACATCAAATCAAGATATCATGACAAATCCCCATCACCATCCAACCATCAACTGTTTGCATCTTTGACGCGCCAGCCTCAAAGAACGCCCTACTGCTTTTCCCGTGACTAGTGCCCACTATGAGCCAAATGGGACGCAACATGTCACAACTGGTGTCACCGGCTAGTTGCAGCATCTCAACCGGTCACTGGGAGCTTCAAAGGCGGTCGACACATAGGGCGGAGACAGCTGAAACCGCTGACCCCTGGTGGCACTTTTCATCGGGCTGAGCTGCGTCGCTAACACCTCCGGTCAGGCTGGCGTCGTCAGCCACATCTCCAAGTACCTTTGGGAATGGAATAGTGAGGAAGGAAACAAATACGTCCATTTAAATCTGTGAATCAAATGAACAGTCACCACCACCATGAGCCCATTGACCATGAATGACTGAGCCAAACTGGCTTTGTATCGGGGATATCGGCAGGGATTTGACCAAGAAGGGGGGGCCAGACTCACAGCAATAGCAGTTGCGGCCCAATGCCTTGCACCTGGAAGATGGAAAATGATCAGAATATCACAACGGTAGGGAACAATTGAGACTTCGATGTCATGAATTCATTTTAATAAGCAATACTGAACACCATGGACGATCTCCAAATCACCAGTGCCTGCCCCGTTGATGCTGTACTGGGCGGGCTAAGTGGGGCATCCGTCCTGATGTTTGCTGTGTACCATGCTAAAATCATGAAGTCCGGGAAAAATTGACCCATATGCTGCACGAACAACTATAACTAGAAGATCTACCTGAGAATGAGGAAGGAAGCAAATACATTTAAATCAAAACACATGTGTTTGGTGATAACATGTGATAACTCCATGAATTATCATAACTTGAAGTTGTAGACATGGATGGTTAGAATTCAAAATGACCAGTGTTTTCATGGGCCCATCGTCAACACCTTTTGTTGTCTGTTTGGCGCACCTTGTGGACTCAGCATTGAAGCGGTTGAGGGCCTCCTGCCCAAGGTATTTTCTGAGATTCAGGACATTTGCGCATCAACTGATCCAATGTCCAGGGCTGCAATGGGTTCCAACACAACCCTGCTTGAATTGAAAATTGTTTGACGTTCAAATTTCTCAAATGCCCAAACTGGAAATTGCCTCCAACCGTTTTCGCCATTTTTCCAAACCTTGCAAGGCAAATCGCCAAGGACGCTTGGCAACCAATGCCCCGAAATTACATGATTTTGGAGGCGGTGATACTCTCTGAAATCCAGTTCATTATTTTTTTGTTAATTTTGGTGATTTCTGGTATATTAGCAATGCTGGCTGTAACGCACATTTTTTCCTCCAATTGTATTTTACGATCAAATTGGAAGTCTTCGATCCCATAAACCTTGTAGAAGGGGATTTCCCCGCAGAAAAAAAAACAAACACATCCAGGTATCTACATTTGCCGTGCATCATATGAAAAATGTGAACTGCTTTTCTGCAGGCCTGATGATGTCTCAGTGTCATGTCGGTCCACTGCCATAGCAGGTACATACCCATGTCATGACGTTTGTGTTGTTGACAATCATGGCCCTCATGGGATACTTCGCTGCATGCCCACTGAGTTATTTGCTGCTGGAAACTAACTATCCATTAGTTCCAGCCCGAAGGCCGAAGGGGTGCCATGTCAATGAGTGTTTGCAGCAATACTGAAGCGAAAAAGATTAGCAGAAGAACACGTCCAAAGCACTGTTCCTAGGCAGACTGTCCTGGTGAAACAATGAGCCGAAAATTCTTGCGGTCATTGCGTAATCTGCAGCCCAAACTGCTATGAATAAGTTTGTTCGAAAATTTTGGTTGCTCACCTTCATGGAAATTATATCATTTCATGCTATCATTACTACCAAACTCTCTCACGACTTTGGATACATGGACCAATCCTGTAAAGTCCAAGTGAGCTGCCGCCCAACTTACTCAACAATCCCACGTTTTTGCACCATCTATTGCCAAATCACCAAACTATGCACAACGTCGTTTGTGACATTGTGCAAGGCAAAGTTGTAATCAATCTTAACCCTACCAAGTTCATCTCTCATCTTGAGCGACGCAGGCATGCACGTTAACATCTGTCAAAGGCGCCTTGGCCGCATTGAGAGGGTGTGTTTTCTGCAATGCATGTAGCTACTTCTCTACGAAATTCACAATGAACTCAGGATACGCCTGCGCAGGGTCAAATGTCACCACCTCCAAGTGGTTCTGTCTTCCAGCTGAAGGGCCGTGGGAAGTGCCGGGCCTTGCAATGATGGAATCAGCTCGCACGCCGTTCTTCTCTGGAGGACCTGTTTCCAGTTTGGATAATTTCGGTGAAGCCGGCGGCGAAACGATTAAAAATGATTAAAACCCAAAAGAGAGACACCGCCATGAACCTCGCCCTTTTTGGGGGGAAACAGTGAGATTTGAACTCCAAGTCGGTTAAGTTTGGAACACAAATTATTTCCGTCAAGGCGCGTGAGAAGTGCCATTCACTTTGTGTGTAGAAAGGATCTCCTATAGCCACCCGAGCCAAGAGCATGGTTCCCACCAGCTGCGTGGAAGCTTTCAATGACATTCCATGCACGGTGGCATACTGAGCAGCTTTGCAGGTCTGCGCTGCAAAGTATGTCCCTTGCCCATAGAGGCCATTGCCGGCGACCCGGTGGTCAAAGCCTTCTGTTGCAATAACTTTTGCGACATCAAAATGTGGTGTACCGTGTAGAAGAAGCAGTTCATTGCTTGCTTGGTCGACGTCGATATCTGTAGCAAAATCAATCAAAGCTTTGCTTGGTGGGTGGCGGATGTGTTCAGGGGAGATTCCATATTGCCGGTGTTTGTCACAAATAGATCGAATGCAGCGGTGGTAACGGCGCCACAAGTGAAGATTTCTAACTTGGTAAGCTTCAGTCACGATGAAGTTTGAGCTGCCATGAACACACTTGCAGACTGTACCGTCATGACGGGCACGCGACCCGTTCAAGACCTCAGCTAGTCTCTCCAGCGTTCTCTTGCCGGTCACTTTCTTCAGCAGCATCAGGTTGCCAGACAACCCTTGATGAAGCCGCGCGTTCCAATGAAGTGGCAAGCTCGGTAGACCAACAAAACAGCGGATCTTTACTTCCTTCTTGCCCTTCTTGAATTCGATGTCATACGTTCTCTCATCTATGACAATCTGGAAAGCATCATGGTTCTCCCTGGCCTTGACAATGAGCTCTTTGTTGGCAGGTTCCTGACACATGCAAGAAACATTCACCAGGAGAAACGCTCCGAAAGGACTGTGAAACTTGTTCGTTGAACCGCCGCCGCCAGCGGTATCAAAGATTGCTTTCTGGCTAGGCTAAACTTAACCGATGAACAAAAAGATAAACCGATAAATCATGATCCGCACCCCGATGATCCCGATGTATATTCCCAGAGGCTCCAATGTACTCACTATATGACTACATTCAGCTTCGTACCAATTATCTTGGACATTGGTTATTAAACTATGTCCGTACTCAAAAATCAAGTACATTCAAATCCATAGAAACTCGAGACATTCGAGGCTCGAGATTCGAGACCAGAAGTTCAAGAAACTCTTGACATTCGAGACTTTCGATTCGAGACTGGGGATCATCCCGGTCAAGCTAAACACATGGAAGTGCATGATATGTATTGAATATGTGTCACAATAATCCTAAGAGACAACAATCACTGATCTGGAAGGTTTCGTCTTTGGAAATCAATTTTACAAAGGTCTTAAAGTCTTAAAACTATGTTTTCGCTGAGTCAACTGTGCATTTCCACCTTGAATTCCGGAATCATCCCAGCAACCAAGTCAGTCTAAATACATCTAAATACGCATAGGCTAGGTATGCATGGTAAGTTTTCTTTTAAATAGAGGGGCGCAGGATGTTGTGGGAATGTGGGAACTCTTTTGTTTTCTATTTCTTGATGGGGTACTTGCCTGCCAGTGAAACAAGAGGAATCGCACTGCGAGGTATTATAGTGATGAAATATTGTGTTTTCTTTTTTCCGTGCATATGTATATTTGTCCTTGCACTTTGGCATGGCATTGATGTGGTATACAGAAAGTATGACACGGTTGTTATTATATCCTGCTTGCCTGCTACAGATTTGGCTACCTATCTAGTTCCAATGGCGGACTTTTGTTTTCTATAAATGTCACCTTTTGTGGGTAATTATATGATTTGCTCTTACAGAACAAAAATTTCAAGGAAAACTGGACGCCTGAGGGCCTCTAGAAACTGCATTATCATACGGAATGGAAAAGAAGAGGGAGGCATATTTGGTTGCATGTTCTGGGTGCCCAGGCATGGGTTGGAAAAGAAACAATGTATGGAAACCCGGGATGTTTTTTTTTCAACCTGTATTTTGTAGCAGAAAAGGGAATAGCTGAGCGGGCAAGACCCGGGCAAAAAATATAACTTCAGTAAGGCAAATGCACACTTGAAAAGCAGAACATGCACGATGAAAAAACACGTGTCCTCAAACTTAATGGGTGGAACACCTTGCAAATGTGCAACAAAGTGTAGTATTCTTGGCTTAAGACTTTGGAATTCATCATTAACAATCCTTTTTCACACTTTGACACGAAACTGACAAGACTTGCTGCGCTGACCTATACAGTTCCCACACTTTAATCATTCTTACGAAGGGGCAAGACTTCTCCAGCAAAAATGTTGCATTATTTTTCACATGTTCTTGTACAGAAACCCAGTCCCAAGAGCAAACCCTGCACTCTACCGGAGATCTGTTTGACTTCTGATATCCCCTTGCTCATGAAAGGCAGGTGGCCAAGGCCAAGGAACAGATTGAAAAGATTTCAAACCGTAAAACAGGGAGGAACAAAAAACACGCACATTTTCATACAATTGCACACCGCAACTGGCTTGAGGTGTGAAGTTGTGATATTTCGTGTTTTCCTTTTTGGACGAAAGTCCTGATTTTCTTCTGAAGAGCAATCATTGTGTTTCTTTTCCTTTTGCTGGCTTCTATTTGGACAGAAGGCCAGAAAACTCCGCACTGATCATTGCAAGGATGATGCCAGGACATCCTACGAAAGCAGCATGCAACGACGTTTCCAAAGTCCGTTGGACCACTCCCAGGGCGTCCTGTTTAAAATCAAAGATTCAGAAACTACCTGTATACTACTGTAGGCCTCTTCAACCAGTTAAATGAGAAATGTAGTACATTTTTGCCAGCTGCACATTCTGTCATTCTCTATCTCGCCTGGTTGTGCGTGTCAAACCTAGCAGGTCGAATTATGTTTTTTATTATGAAAAATATAGAATGAATAGCCTTATGTGCATCTCAACCTTGATATGTGCAATTCAGCCCCTTAGTAATTCATGCAGTAGATGTTGTTTTCGGCCGTTGATTTTGATACTGTAAAATAGATGCTTGTGAATCTAAGACCACCCCTTTGGCCGGAAGACAATATCGATAATTATACATATATATATATAACATATCATATCTTTCAGTATGCCATGTGGCCCTCTGCACTCTGCACGTCGCAATTATTTTTCTATACGGCTTGAAAAAAACATAGTAGGACGAAAAAGAGTGTTGAAGCCCAGAAATGAACATATATGATACGAAGTCACGCGAAGTCACGCAAAGTCACGCGGAGTCACGCGGAGTCACGCGAGATTCCGTGAATGTACTCATTTTTTGAGTACATTCATAGAAATGTAAGCTGAATTTTGCATACATTCACAGAAACAGTCACTCGAAGTCACGCGAAGTCACGCAGAGTCCCCAACCATTGCCCAACCAACCCTAACAATGTCAACGTGCTTAGTGTTGGTAAAAGGGGTTGTCATCATCAAACGCCTCAGCTAAAGCCTCAAAACCCCAGTAACTGATGCGCAAATAGCTGTACTGATAATAATAGGCTCACCCAAGGGTTTAGGAAATCTTGGCCTAGCAATGAACTATCACATCAGTTATGTAATTGCCTTTGCTGGACAAAAATGTCCATGATTTACGTTTACAGCTAAGGTGTTGCTTTTTTTGGCGTGGGGCCGTAGCTAGAAGAACCACAACAAAAACACTAAACAAACATACGTAGAGATGGTCGAAAGGCGCGATTTTTTGGCAGAATTTGGGAGCGAATGGGGGATGACCATGCACTGCAATGTTTGACAGCTCCCTCGCATGTTTTCTTCTCAAAGCGTGTTACAACAGTTCAATTGACACTTCAATAAAGATAAAACTAAACACAGGTCACAGGATACTGTGGTTTTTTCTTTCAAAATGCGCACTATGTTGCAAAGCTGATGCGCTTCCTTCAGGCATCAGTTGGGAATTTGCTGGTCATAGAAACTACTAGGTCTGACCGTCTCACCTACAAGAAGGAATGTTGATGGAATGTTGCACTGTCTTCAAAACATGCTGCAAAGGTGATATGCATGTTCATCATTGCCACGCTATAAAGGATGATGTGGTACTAAGTTCCGAATCAACCTACCCACGGGCTCCAATGTATCCACCACATCGGCACATTCAGCTCCGTACCAAATAGTTTGAGCATTGGCTGTTAGATCATATCCGTTCTCAAGAAATCAATCAAAATCCACAGAAGTTCCAGGCATTCAAAACTCGATTCCGGACTGTTTTAAAATGTTACTGCATTCTCCAGGCAGCAATACCAATCACTGTTGTCTTTGATTACATACCTAATCTACCCGTATTTGTCAGAAAGTGGACGATCTGGAAAAAAAAATAGTACAGTACATTTGAAATAAGCATCATAAATAAGGGGGAGATTTGGAGGGATGGGTGCAAACAAAAAACTATTCAGATTTAGAGCAACTAAGGATTTGTTTTCAACCTATCCGTCATGTGTAGCAGAGAAGGGAATAGCTGAGCAAGGAAAAGAGCCGAGCAAAAAAAACAAGCTTCAGTAAGGCAACTACCAGCTTGAAAGGCAGAACATGCACGATGAAAAAACATGTGTCCTCAAACTTAATGGGTGGAACACCTTGCAAATGTGCAACAAAGTGTAGTATTCTTGGCTTAAGACTTTGGAATTCATCATTAACAATCCTTTTTCACACTTTGACACGAAACTGACAAGACTTGCTGCGCTGACCTATACAGTTCCCACACTTTAATCATTCTTACGAAGGGGCAAGACTTCTCCAGCAAAAATGTTGCATTATTTTTCACATGTTCTTGTACAGAAACCCAGTCCCAAGAGCAAACCCTGCACTCTACCGGAGATCTGTTTGACTTCTGATATCCCCTTGCTCATGAAAGGCAGGTGGCCAAGGCCAAGGAACAGATTGAAAAGATTTCAAACCGTAAAACAGGGAGGAACAAAAAACACGCACATTTTCATACAATTGCACACCGCAACTGGCTTGAGGTGTGAAGTTGTGATATTTCGTGTTTTCCTTTTTGGACGAAAGTCCTGATTTTCTTCTGAAGAGCAATCATTGTGTTTCTTTTCCTTTTGCTGGCTTCTATTTGGACAGAAGGCCAGAAAACTCCGCACTGATCATTGCAAGGTTGATGCCAGGACATCCTACGAAAGCAGCATGCAACGATGCTTCAAAAGTCCTGTAGACCCATTATATATATATATGTTTTTTTGCTCTACCGGGGTGTTGTTTTTGCTCAGTTTTGGGTGGGCATCTTGTTGTACTGTGGTATGGTATACACATCCAGTGACCATAGGACGTGTTTTGTGAGTTGTATGGATTTTAGAGCCAAGTCTGGACAGTATTATATGATTTATATGAGATCCAATATCCAATGTCTTGGCATTCCCGCAAAGTTCGAGACATGTCCGACAAAGTCATAATTTCGAGAGATTCTCGAGACTTTTCCATAGAATCCGATAACCTTTTGTGCCCCGTAGTCAAAATTTGATGACATGGGCTCCGTAGTCAAATTTTGATGACATTTCAATGTAGGCAAATATTGCTTACATGGATCCTAAGGGATTATACCCTTGTATACCCTCAAGAAAAAGGCTACAAACGTCTTCAGAGGATCTGGAAACGAGATCCACTTGCCACGGCTGGTTTGATATTGCCAGGTTTCACCATCTACCTGCGGTTGCGTGGCAAACCTCTGCGCCATTAACACCCTTTCGCTCTCCTTCTGCGCGAGCTGCTTCTCTAGATGACTGATTTGAGCCATGCAAGATTGCAACTTCTCAGTCTCCATCCTTTCAAGTTTCCCATGCAAACCCTGCTGTGCAGCAACAATTTCGCCCTCCTTCTGCAACAGTTTAAACTCCAAAAAGTCGACACGCGACTGGAGTGGTACCAGTGCTGCCCTGGCGTTCTCCTCGCGCGCAAGCTTCATTTGCAAATCCTGAATTTGAGAAATCCCTTCCGCGTCCTTCTCCAACAACTTAAATTCCAAGCTGCTAACGCGAGATCGTAGTGGCATAAGTGCTGCCTTCTCATTTTCCTTGCGCGCGAGCTTCATTTGCAAATCTTGAATTTGTTTCCGCGAGATGGCTAATTCATTGTCCCTTGCCAGCAGCGTTTCTTGCAAATCGGCCAGTCGAAGCTCTAAACCAGTGGGGGAGTCTGGTGGCCGAGTCAATTGGTCAATGCCAGACTGCAACGCCCCAACGATTTGGGGTTGAAGCTGTTGGAAATGATCAAAGATCTTTTCTGCGACCTCCTGCGCGATCAACCACATCTGCTCCATCTTTACAAACTGATTTCTCCTGCCAAGTCCTAAGCAAAACATGTCAATCTCTACAGAACTGCTACAGGGTTTGGTCAATGTGCACATATTGCACTGCGCACAGCTCTTAATTTATTAAAAGGCAAGTGGTGTTGGATGTTTTGCCCGGAAGGGGTGCCAGGAAAACTGGAATGCCTCCATGAAGATCGATGATGGGAAGAAAAAATGGCGCGTAAGAAAGAACATGTTTTAAAATGTTTTAAAATGTTTTAAATTAAATATGTTTAAATCACAATGTGCATGTGTGCCACGACTTCAATTAATAAATGTATATACCTGGCAACTGGAAACCCAAACGATCCCAAATGTCAAGATTTTTTCAGACATAGGCCGTATTGCTCGTAATGACATGTTTTATTCAAATTTATAGTTTCTTCCTGAAACGACCAACAAAAATCATCAACAGTCGGAATGCGTTTGCATGTTTCGTTGAAAATAAATAGCGTTTGCATGATGGAACAGACATGTCAATTTTATTGATCTTGGGCCCAAAGTTGGCCCAAAGACACACTCAACCCAGCAATCCTCCAGAAAAATGCTAAACACATGGGTAAAAACCCCATAAAAAGCCAGAGGCGGGTTTTCGACCTCACGTGCGTTAACAGAGCGTGTTTGGGTCCGGCCAATCGGGCCGTCAATCAAACCAACAAACCCGTAATGACAGATTAAACGTACGATTATCAACCCCGAGCCCTGGAAATCTGATGTTTGGGTTCCCTGGTATACACATTGGTCAGAACCCGTTTGCCAAGAACAGTACAGCATCTATATAGAGATCATTACCCTAGTAACAGCGACAAGCATAAGGGTCCAAAATCAAACCCTTGCTGTGACCAGATTGGAAAATCAAAATGCATCAAGCAACTAGAACACAAAAGCCATAAGACGCCGAAAACTGGAAACCATGAATGTTGGGCAATGCTGGATATGTACCAAGTGTCAGTATGATTGAAATAGGCGCTAGCAATCACCGCAGCAGGGACCCAGTAGCCTGTAGCATGTGGATGGTGGGGAACCATAAATCTGCAACATCGGAACACAACCAGCAGCACTAGGAATAGGTGTAGCCTTTGTATCCCTTTATTAATAGTCATCTTGAAGAAGCAAGGAAATTCGGACTGGATTTTGCTTTCAACCACAAAGCCCTAAATCGTTCCAGAAGAAAAACATGTGGTTCCTGAGAACGAGTTTTGGATTCTCCAGGCTGGTTGTTTCTTTATCCACATTGCACATCCTCAGCGGCCAGACCCCTGGATGCCAAATCAATTTGAAAGGTTTTCAAATGTCCTTTTAGGCGCGCACACACACAAACTAAGGGCATAACTCTCAGGTGCCCGACCCATTTATTGAAGAAGTGTCCAGTGTTGTATATTGTTGTGCTAAAAATTAGACCCGTGCGTGTAAGATTGTGGTGGCTGAGGTTTGACCAACCTCTATCCATGCCCAGCCCGTGTTGAGCCACTTTGGGGGGATGTTTGAGCTCCGTATTGGGCTATTTAAGAGGGCTGTGCAGGGCTCATTCTGAAGTGATTTTTGGGATTTTTGGGGGCCAGCCTTGAGCCAACTTGGGGGATGTTCTGGAACACATGTCAGGTTTTGGGCCTTTTTTTTTGTCGCGCCAAATAAAATCTGAAGTTTTTAGGGCGAAATTAGTGGCCTTGAAGTGGCACAATGTGGAGCCATTTAGCAAGCAAATTTGGTTACTTTAGCATGGTTCTGAAAAAGGTGTTTGTTGTTTTCAAAGATAACGGTTCGGCTCTTGACTCAAAGATGCGCCAACGAGCCTTTTCAGGATGAGAAGAATGAAGTTCATGAAGCACCATTTTATTTCTTTACAAAGACATGCAACAAATTGTATTTCTGCATGAAGCTGTGATCAAAGCTGCTAGGCCAACTGCAAACATCTGAGAAATATCACCGCACATGGAACCAACCATATACTGGCGTATGTTTTGAAACAAACAGATGCTTAAACAATGTCCGCACAACACTTAGAACAACAATTGAACAAACAAACATGGATGGCAAATGATAAGCAACAAATTGGAAGAGCTGGAACGCCACCACATTGAAGTAGATCACGAGAACCATCATGGTGCAAAGAATCAATAACAACTGGACGTCATTCTACATAACAGCCAACAAAAAGTGCGCAAATTAAACAAAGCATTGGGTGTATCATCAATTTTACAGAGACCATGATTGTATACAAGTAAAAGCAATAGAGCGGGAAAAGAACAAGAGACCATGAACCGCGAGTAATAGACATATTGCGCTTTATTATACTGTAAGGCCTTGAAAGACAAACAATACATACATGCACATGATTACCGCATACCTTACATCCGACAATTTGTGAAGAGCTTGGGATACACATGATTGGGATATATGGGATATGTAGACGAACTTATTTGGAGTCGGAGCTTATTGCGTAGAAGGCGTAGAAGCATAGTGATTTCCAGTAATACACTGATCAGTGGAGTCTGGCTATCTACTCCAGTAGTGTACACATGTTTCTGATGCTACAAAATGATATGCACATCACACAAGGGTGACATACACATGGTATATTACATCTGGTATATTATATTGCGTAGTATGCCTGTGGTACATGCGGTATGTATATGGTATACCTATGGTGTCGCTTGTTAGGGTTTGTTCAAGCTTTTGTACGCCAAGCGTCTTGGATTAATTCCCTAAGTCTTTGCCCTCTAGTTGTGTCGAAAACTTACAATTCGCACGATAAAGTGTTGCGAGTCCGACTCGTTTCTGCTGATAATTGCAGTTGGTACTCCTCTGTTGTCCTTTTCCTGCAAGTTGAACAAGAAACCTCACAAGAGTTGGAACTCATTGTTCACACCTGCCCATCTGATGGGGGTCCTTGGGCTAAAAAGGTTCGGAAAGGCAACAATGACACTATAGGTGGAGCAACAATTTGTTGGAACTCAGACTGCTTTTGGGAAGAAAAGGGAGTTCAACTGCAGCTTGATGGGTGGGGCCAGATTTTTCATCAAAGTCCTGCTCCCAACTGTTTTCCAAAAACAACGCTTGGTGCTAAATCTCTGCATCATCCCATCATCCCAAGAAAGGGACTCATCTACCAAGGGTGGAATACCCAAACCAATTCCAGCCCATCTGTTTCAAACGGCCGAGATTCGTGAGGCTTCAAGCTACAATCGACCACTTAAAGTCACCATAGGATTTCGACCAGTGAAGGAGTGGCAAGCCAAATCTTTGAACTACTATTCTATAGTGTATATATATTTATATATATAGAATACTAGTTTGAAGAATAATATAGTGTGTATATTAGTTCATATAGTGCCTATATATATAATTATATATATAATTGTGGCTCTTCGGATCAGGTCCTGTCACCATCTCTGGCATGCATTGTGAAGTCAATTCGGTTGCATGAAGGGACACTTTCCACAAGGAAATCTATTCCTGAAATTGGTTTCAACAAGGAATGTTTGCTATGAACTGTCTTTGGTGTAGAGGTAACAATATATTTTATGTTAAAAACTTTTCCATTGGCCCCAAACCAGTTACAGTTGTCACAAGAAGGCCTAAGCGTGCTTAAGCCTGAAAACCGGGTGACGGAACCGGCCTCTTCAATGTAATGAAACGTGACTCATCCGTCATGTCATGAAAACGGCTTTGTTTCACCAAAGTGGATGTCCAGCCGTCGAGAAAAATGCTGAACCCACTACAGGGATAGTGCATTCTTAGGGAAATAAACACAGGTCTTGAGGACCGATGTTTGACCTCTAGATGTTCAGACTTTGTATCAGACATCTCGACAAACAATCGCAACAGGTCAATAGTCAATGCTGCTCAGCATTGCTGACAACTGCAAGAAAAACCACCATTTTTCCGCAGCTTGGCGCATCTCCACACAGCGGCCACGCCCTGCACTGGATCAGCAAAACGGGTTGCAACATTGAGAAACAAACAAACCGATTTCGCACCAGTCATGGCTCCAAAACAAAACGCCTCATGAAGGTCCAGCAGAATTCCTTGTGTGTTTGATGATCGCCTGTTGGGGACAGAGGATGGGCGAGCCAACGCCGGTGGATCACCGAAACTGGCGCTGGGGTGGTGGCGATGCTGACATGCAAACCAGGTGACATCTGACATGTTGAGCAACCAATTTTGGTGGGAATGTAAAGGAATGTCATGGAATGTCACTGACAACTGCGTTTATTAGACTTTGGGAACCAAACAACAAACATCAAAACATCAATCAATCTATTCAAAGAAAAAACGCTACCACAGTTGGATGGCCAAGAGCAGCTGGGCGAAAACTGGGCGTTTGCAGCAGGAATGACAGCTTCTGACTACTGCCTTGAAACCACCCACCAAAGGAAGTATGAAGTGAATCTAACAATGGCAGAAAATGTTTGTCTCCTATCAAATTGAAGAAAGATGCACAGAGAATCATATTGCTTTGGTAAACCCTGTCATAGTGTGCATCCATACTTCTGCAATGGAAGCCTGGTGGATATCACCATGCAGTTTATAAAGGAACCGTGCGGCTTGGACAAAATGCACATGACCATGGCTAAAATTGATGAACGCCAGAAACTGGATGGTTAATCCGTTCATCGCATTCAAAATGAACAAACATTTGTGGGTCCATCCGTATTCCCGTGTTTGATCCTCTATCTCCATGTGACCAGAAGGTTGAGTTGAGGTCCTGTCAGATTCCGACTGCGGGGAGCGCTGCCCTTTTTCCTACCCACTAAGTGATTCATATATACCCTCAAGTACGAGCAGGGACTGTTGGGGAAGATTTTAGAACCCCAACAGGGTGTCTAAAATGATATTCCCAGGGGGGGCCTGGGGATCAACTTGATGATGTCAGACCTTTGGCAGCTTATCTGATGCTTTGGAATGACTTTTGCTATTAGAATAATTATATATACATTATATTACAAATTAATTAACAAATATACATTAACATATTATATTAACATTGCCATTTTAGGATATCCGGGATATCCTACAAGTTTGAGAGTTTGAGACAAGCCATGACCAGCACATATTACTACAGGACAGCACCTCTTCCAGCTTGTGCCCGCTCTCGGAGGCTTTCTCGTGCGTTCCAGCCTTGCAGAAACCACTGCACCGGCTTTCCCAACGCATAGCAACGCAGTCATGTTCCATTCACGACTGAGTTTTTCCTGACCACACAGCAGTTATGGTTATTGGATGTTGGAAGTGCATTTCAGTGGATTTTCAGAACGAAGTTGACGATTCGTTATGTCGCAAGCCATCTTTCCAGGAAGACAATTTCTGCTGTTACCTGGGCCATTGCTTTGGATGGTGCGGATGCCCCTACTGCGGAGGTTTGTAGCTTCGAAAACTGGGTGCCGCGCTTTTTTCACAATCCAATTTTCTCCATTTGCACTTGGAAACTTTGCCAAGACACACAGCTCCCACCTGTCTTCAAACAGACAAGTGTTGGATATTTGGGTGTGTCTGAAAATGGGATACACTCCGCAAATGTTAATTTGCATCAGGAAAATGATGATCAGCCATCAAGTTAATCAAGTTTGGGGATACTTTATTTTCAGACAAACTTATTTTGGAATATCCTCACAGGTTGCAATCTCGCGGTTCTCGCATGGTCCTGAAGTTCACCTGCACCTCTTTGGTCTTTCGAAAGTATCCTCCATTTGCATCGAGTAAGACCACCTCTTCTGTGAAGCGTTGGTCGCTTGTGAAGTCTGACCAAGCTGACTGAACCCAAGGAAAGGCAAAGTCATCAAATATGACATAACCGCCCACAGGAACAAAGCTATACAAATAATACAAAGCATCTTGATGTGCATCGTACCAGTTCCCATCAATGCGCAACACCGCAATCTTCAGGTCTGCGTTGTTGAGCATAGCATAAAACTGTGGCAATGACTGATTGAATAAGCCCCTGTGAATCTGCAGTCCTTTGTTATCCACTCCAAACATCTTAAAGTACTCAATGACGTCCCGTGGTCGGGTCTGGGCGAAAAGATCTCTGTGTCCAGATTCGTACTTTGAAACTTTTACATCAAATGCATCAAACAAGTGCACGGTTCTGGAACCATGTCTTTCCAGCTCGTTGAGGATGCCTCTTGCTAAAATACCTGTACCACCACGCCAAACACCCACTTCCGCGTAGTCACCGGGAATCTTCTCAGAAACCACTGAGAGCAACAGCTGAGCGATGTTTCTCCTGTAGCCAACGGGGCAATGATAACGTCAGCAATCTTGTTTCAAGAAACAGGAAAATATGGCAATGAGTCATACTCAATGAGCCCAAACTTGGTTGGTTTACAGTACCACCTAAGCTCATCAATATTGCGGGTCATTTTCTATCCCATTTCCGACCGATCAAAACCCTGGTAATGGCAGTACCATGGCCAGTTCAGCACCCCAAAACATGGGTATATCATGGTATACAAATGCTGCATCCCCAAGAGGCTCAAACTTAGCATTAAACAAATCCATGCTTTGGCGGGAGCTATCAGATTTCAAAATATGATCCCATTAGATATTTCATGATATTTCATTTCAATGGATGATAAACTGAAATGATCATAAATGGGATCATCCACAAAATAATCCCATTATAGATGATATCATGTTCATCCATTTGGATCATAAAAATTATGTATAATGATCATAAATTAGATATCCCATTAGATGATCCCATTTCAATGGATCCCATCCCATGGCCATCTCCAAGGATCAGCCGCACGAGGCCCACCATGGTGAAGCCCCGTTCAGTGGGCCAGTCGAGGCCGCAGAAGCGTCGCGCTGCTTCCATGGGATACTTCGGCGACAGGTCCAGGGAACCGGTCAACGACAACCTGATCCAACGGGGATCAGCCAACCCAAGATCAATATCGAAACAGAAGTGATCAATTGTAGACATGGATCTGTTAGGATCTAGTGAATCTGAATCTATATGTGAATCTAGTGTCTAAATTTCTAAATCTATCCGAAGACTAAATGACTCTAAAATTGATAGAAAGATGATAAAAAGATGATAAAAATGATACAGGACAAAGGTGACATCTGTTTTTTTTCACCCAGCAACGCTAGCAGTCGGACGTACTGCTGCAAGTGCGACGGATAACCCGCAGCAATGGTGTCTGCTCGACGCCAGAGCATTCTCCGAGACATTGGCACAGCAGCCACAGCAGCCCTCGCGTGTTCCATCTGACACAGCCTCCGGCTCTCAGCGAGGCAAGAGTAGGACTTCTAGAGCAGTTCCCCAAACATCTCCCTCTGCCATAATTTAGGGTTTTTATGGGTTTTTAATGTTTCTTCAGAGCACTTTGAGCCTCTAAACCAGCACATAACTGGCACATAACGGGGGTGTGAGGGGGGCGACCTTGCCTTGTCTCATTGGCCATGAAGGCTTCAAGTTCGGGTTCGGTCGAGCCCACCCCAGCGCCCTGAAAATCGACATCCGCCAGAGCAACTGCCAGAAAGGCGACAGCACATCCCACCATGAGCTGCGATGACGACAAGTCACAGCTGGGGATGGATCAAAACCCATGAAATACGTTGAAAGTTTCATATTTAGGGGGTGAGCATCCATTTCCCAGGCACTTTGGTGTTTAGGATGCCTGGGCTTTGACTCGTATCAAGTTCAACCTTGATTGAAAAGTGCGTCAGATGTTATTCTTCTATTCAAGGTGGCAACAGCTTTCAGGTGGACTGGCCGAGCGTCCATCCTAAGAGAAAGCGGCACAACCACGTGTATGAGGGAAAGGTAGAGTTTCCCTTTATTAAGAAAGTGCATCATTGTTCTCGTGATCTACTGATTGACAATTGATACATTCAATGCAACAAGGATCCTCGCTGTCAGGGGACCCCTTTCTAATATTCAGTAGATGTCATCGGCCCTCATCTATCAACTGGCAGTATAGTGATCTCAGGATATATCTGGGTAAATTATAATATTTCATTAACGTGAATTAAGGCCATTTTGGGATGATTTCCCTTATTAACCATATATTGCATGATTCCAGGGTTCGGGAGAACAGGCTTTGGTCGTTATAATTTACCCAGATATATGTATACGATCATATCCTCCCAGATGTTTGGACCTGGACCGGACCCATGATGATCGAAGCTTTCCGAATTCCGCGCTTGAGAGCAGAGAACTGCGAGACTGATTGCTGAGCAATAAGCAGGAATGGACCACTGAACATGGGAACATGGACGTTGTTCATATCTCTGTTCAATCACCGCCAATGTGAGCTAGCAATAAAGCAAACCAACAGAAAACGACAACAAGAAAAGTATCGAAAAGTATCGAAAAGTATCAAACATATTCAAACATATGCTCCAAAATGTTTATCACATTGTACAACATGTTATGCCGTTTATGAACGAACACTATGTAGTTAGGTCTCCCGATGCACCTTCCGAGAACTCAGCTTCCAGAGTTTCACCCACCTGAGTCCGCCCTGGCGGCCATGGCCATGCCCTGATGGGGATAGGATTGGAATTGAATGATATCTCGACGGTCTGCAACCAATGCAACCCCAATATCTCGAAATGCATCGCACTGCGGATTCTGCAGCCAGAGGATCCCAGACGTGCTTGTCATTGCGTGGACATAGTGGCTGTAATTCTGTCAGCGTGGAATCTTCAAAGGACTCCAAGGTGCAAAGGCAGCTTCCGCTGCTGGCCACACCAATCTGGCCAAGAAGAGACTCCAAAAATTGTATATCATTCAGCATTATTATATATGTATATATATTTATAATATATATTATGGAGCGACTGCATCAGATTCAAGCTTAGGCCCAATGGCTTAAAGCTGGATGATATCGAGCCTGATTGAAACTTCCAAGCATAAACGGCGACACAGGTGGCAATTTTCCACCTTTGGATTGGATAGACAGAAGATGTGGGGTCTCAACCCAGCATGCGACAGAGATCCAAGACGTTTCAAACCTACAAGGTTGAGTTTGCCTCTTGGTGTCTGCATCTCCCCAAAACTGAACGTGGTTAAAACAAGTTGGGACGAGCTAAGGTGCAAAAAGGATATCATGCCTACTTTCAGCTGACCAATCAAGTTCAATTCTCTAAATTTGGAAAGGACCGTAGATACCTGGCCAAATAGATGGGATTTCATTGGATTTCATTGGTCAAGAGGATGATCTGTTTCATTGCAATCTCTCAACAGAGCCCACCAAGATCTCACCTGGGAAGCCTCCAACCAGAAAGGCGCCACAGCGGCCTCGCAGCTGGTTGCCAGGTTGGCACATGTTGCCCGGTTGGTACTCCGACCAAGGTTTCGCAATCCCAAAAAAAATGTCAGTTCTGATATGTCTGCATCTGGAAATGTGTCACGTTGACTTTTCAGCTCTTAGTTCAACCGTCTCGCATGGTGACTGGACTCATGGAAGCCCTGCTGGTCATGCACCTAGTTTTCTATGAGTCAACAGCCCTCAACAGCCCCGACGGCAGTCACTGTCTGATTCGAGCGGCCGCAACAAATGACCAGGGACATGAAGGCAGGACATGAAGGCAGTCAGCTGCCTGGGAGAAAACAAGGTGTCTTGAGCGTCTCCAGTAATGTGTATCTGATGGATTCTGCTTGGTTTTTGGCAGGATGTCATTTTCGCTCTTTCACGGTCCATGCTGTAGGGTCTTTTTCGAATATATACTCAGACATAGAAAACTATCTCGAAGGAACCAAAGTGTGAAGACTCCACGACATTATGACACTCACGGGGACAAAAAATTCTTGTTAGTCTATCCCTTTGCCCGGCTATTGAAACTTCAAGCCGTGCTGGAACCTAAATCATCTTCATGTGTCGGCCGCGGCAAGCCCGCTGCCAGCCTCAAAAAGGTTGGGGCCATTCACGCAGCCATGCAGCTGGGTGCAAAGATTTCCCAGACTCGGCCCCCGACGTCAAAACCCATGGTTCACTTGGAATGGGACTGCAGCTAAGTTTGACAAAGTTTGACTGGGAGTGAAAGACATGTGTGAGTCTGTGGCTGCAACATGGTTTCGCATGGTATCGCAACATGCTCCAATGGCATGTGGTGACAACAATTTGTGAAATCATATTTGATTTCAACCTCGCAAGACATGTGACTCCAGACCCTTGAGGCAAACAAAATGGCTGAAGGGGAACTCCAAAAGTTTAAAGGTTTGTAGTGCCTAGTGTCGAAACGTATCTGAGCAGCCCAGAGAAGACCACAAAGCAACTCTTCACGCAAATATGTGTTGCTTTTCGTAGCGCTTCTGCGTGTGTGAAACATGGATGGCCCGACAGGCCCAACATCAACATCATATAAGATCATCGATCCAGAAGATTTCACAGTTGCGGAGCCGTTCAGTACCAATTTTCATTGCGTCAGGCCTCCAGTGGCACAAGGCCCCATTGACATCATTAGTGACGGACAGGGCTGCACCAACTGAACTGCTCCCATTGACACCTCCGTGCAGCCAAGATTCTGCGCGCTCCAACAGTGTTACAATCTCGTCGTGGCCCCGGCTTCTTGCATCGTCCAACGGAGTGTTGCCTGAGTGCTGGGACCAAGACCTATGTGACGCTGCTTCCGGCATCACACTCAGTGTCTCGCTGGAATTTCAAGAGCCATATTGAAGAAAGTACTTATTATAATTATTGTAATCTATATGATACTAGTATAAATATTTCCATGTATCAAGTTCATAAGATACAAAATATAGCTGTTTTCATTCTTCACACCAATACAAGTTGCTCCAAAGGCTATTCACGCCCCATGTTGGTCGGGCTGAAGTTCCATCTCCCACGAGACAAGGGCCCAGAGTCCAGAGGTTGCCATTAACTTTCATGGTGACTCTTGTAGACTGTTTTGAAAATTGAAAGAAGTAGTGTGCAGTTTCACCTTCTTGCATTCAAAGTTGAAGGAGATCTTTAAATTAGTTATAAACCCAAACGCAAACACATGACACAGTTCAAACGGAAATGAAGAGAACCTCAATGTCAAAGTGCCAAATCAATCGCCATACCAATTGTCGCTTCTCTGTAATCAGAACACGTAATCAAAGTATTCCCAAGATGCTGTTTTCAAGTGAAATGCAGGCCTCAACACAATATCAACGGACGGTTCCTGTGCTATTTCAGTCCGGAAGTGCTAGGACCAGGAATTGCAACGAGAAAAAACAGCTCAATATCAGGTTGTCCATACATTTCCAATCAGCAGATAGATTGTTCGTTCAGTTTTGTAGATTTTGGCTCTGGCGAGACGTCTTGATAGATATCACTATGATATCAAGACAGGATGTATGACAATGTGTGATGTATGCTAATCATTTTCATGCAACATATGTTGCATGTGGAGGCTGGAGGTGCGTTGTGCATATTCATATATCGATCATGACGCATCTCTATCAACAAACATTCATTGGGTCTACATCCATTTGCATTGGAGGTGT